TTTAGTAGACATTTATATGTATTTATTGCGAAAAAAATAACAAAACCCTTGTAAAATCCAAATTAAAGTTGTTAATACAAAATTGAATTAGTATATTGTAAATTTATAATACGTCTTTAGAGTGTATTGACTAATTTTTTAAAAGTTCGCGAGTTATAAAATTTTGTTCGGGATTATATCCGGGTATATTAACAACCAATCAAAACGAACTTCTGCTATGCTGGTTTATGTTACCGGCGCAAATAAGTCAATCGAAAATGACATTTCCTGTATAAAAAAGATCGTCACCAATCAAAATTACTCTTATTTTAGCCAATCAAAACACTTCCGCTATGCTATTCTCCAAAGATTTCTATTTTTAGAATGAAATAATTAAAAAATTAATTCCGGCCAGAAATTATGTAAACGATTATGTAATGCAGGTCAAGATTTTGTAGATCACGGCCGTTAGCCAATCAAAATTGAGAATCTGTTATGGCAAAATTGTAATAAGACGAAAAGGACGTTTTGGAATTGTATGGAGACATAGAAATTCTTAAGAAAGTTACAAATCGATATATTTAATATGCTTAAATTATTCTGCTCGTCTTTATTAATTCTTTGATAACTTTATTAAATCTATTAAATAGGTTATTGATTACTTTAAAAAAAATCAATTAGCTGTATATAAATAAGATATTAAGAAAAAAAATAATAGCTTATAAAAGATATAAATGTACCAAAATAAAGTAGCAACAAACAAAAAAAAGCTAAAAATGACTAGCAAAAATATCAATACAAAAAATACTGAAATCATAATTTTAAGAATCAAAAAAAAAAACACTAAAGTTAGTACTAATAAAGTAAAAAAAAAAATACTAAACTAATAATATCAATGACAAAAGATATACTAAAATAAATAAAAGTGCTATCTAATAATATTAACAATAAAAATCAATATAAAGAGCACCAAAAACCATGTGATATAGTAGTCAAATGTCTTTAAACCGAAATTATCCGGATTCCAATCGATAATATTCTTGTTTGAAGCTTAATCACTATTAGATTTTAATTAGGGGTCTCCAAAAAAAAATACATAAACTTTGACCTTTTAGCATTAAATATTATTAGTTTATACAAATTAATAAAATTTTTTTTTAAAAAATAACTTATGATTGAGGAAATCTATAGGTCTAATTTTGCATTCAGCGATGCATTCTTGTTGGAAGTCACTACTATAGATGTGTTCCTAAATTATTTCGGAAAAAAGTATTTCAGCAAACATTTCAGCTTTGCTACATTTTTTATATGAAATTCTCTGGGGTCTGCAAATGCTCATGCCTGTGCATATAGATACAAAAGTGCCAGGCACTATTAAGGTATGAACATAAAGTACCAAGCACCATTAAAGGTATGGGCACAAAGTGCCAGGTACTAGCAAAGGCATGGGCACAAAGTGTCGGATACAATTATGTGCCTGTACCCATGCCAAATTTTTTAACCTGTGCCCACACCTATGCCAAATTTTTATGCCCATGTTCATGTCCATGCCATTCCTTGCCTTTTGTTTGGCGCAAGCATGAGCCCGGGTTGCAGAACCTTAATACTACTATGTACTGTATTTTGATGCAATAATTTTGGCAAATATGAAAATTAATTTCGGCAACTGTGAAAGACTAATTTCGGCTGATTAAATGCCGTAATAATTTTTTTGTTACCAATTGAAATAAGGCTCTACATTCGTTTTCTATATATTGCACATGTGACCTTAGAGTAATTTAATTAGAGTTATCATAGCGCATCATATGATAATTTAGAATCTATACAATTTAATCAAATGCATTGTTTTACTGCCTATTGCGATTGGATCTTAATCATGTGTATGCAGAATTTTATTAGTTACTTAGGTGGTATTAATATTTGATTGTTATGATATACATATGAGTCACTTGTTATTTGTGTTGCGTATCAATATATATTATTGATATATATGTAAATATGATGAGAAATACGTAACAAAAGCAGCAATATATGTGTTGAAATCTTGATACAGTATGTATCAGAAACGACAAATCTTGATAAAGGTAAATTGTTCTATAATTTTGCTGTCTCGTGATAGGTCATTTTTTGGATAGATTAGCACAATTCGGTGACAGAATTTTTGTGATTCACTAATTTACTGTAAGTCCAAGAGAACTATCATTTTTACATCAATTAATATATAAGTCCTTCGCACGTTCTAGCATAATTATTTACCTGATACGTAGTTTAAGTATTTCATACATATGTATTATTTCTTTTTTTCATTTTATTACTACCATAATCGTCTACCTATACTATACGGCTATTGCAGCATTCACGTGGTCTCATAATAAATCTCCGATCAATGCGGATAAAGGAATCAAAACATCATTATTTTTGTTAAAAAATACGTATGACAAACTCATTAAAACCTAAACGTAGTACGTACGTACACACGTACTCCGGGCTCCGTTTGTCACACTACCAAAAATAGTGTGCCAATTTGACCATCTGACCTTTGTTATGATTTGAATTAGAAAAATAAAAATAAGACATTCTTCACTATCGTTATTGATAACATTTACAAAATAGATACTTATATTGATTACATTTATAAAATTAGACTCACTTCATTATTTATGACATTTCAAAACGCCGACCTACTTAGTATCTCCCATAACTAAACCGAATTTACATAGAAAACTTGACCAAAACGTTTTTTATTCTTCCTGAATTAGAATGGAATTAATGGAAGCTTTAAAGGATGGGGATCATGATTCATATAACAACTCGGATGAACTTATACGAGAATGTTTTGAAAAAATAGAAAGTTATCTAAAATCTGCAGATTTAAAAAGATTTGAATTTTCGCAATTCAGTGACCTTAAACCAATTGATAATGGAGGGAATGCAGTCGTATTTTCAGCAAATTTCCAAAGCAAAAAGTATGCTTTAAAAAATCTCACTAATAATTTATTTGTGGACGATGGAAAATTTAAAGACATTAAACGTGAGGTAATTTACTGTATTACTTATTGTCCCTATAAGTAAGCTAGGATACTGTATAGCAATAGATAGATGTAGATTAGGAACATTAAGTTAGAAATGTTAATTGGTCCCAGTTTGGACTGAGCCAGCATTCTCGGTTCAGACCGAGTACTGACCAAACTTTAATACTGGGATCATAATTCCTTCATCTGCAGAGAAGGTAAAAAATTTACATGCTAAATATGGCAACATGTGAAACTACAATTGAAAGCTCTAAACATTTTGAAAACAAATATAGTAAATACCAGCCAATCCGATGCCTTAACGTGATCATATTCCGACATTTTAGAATTTGATTGGTTTATTAACACATACCAATTAAAATACGTATTGATAACCGTATAGCCGCACTAACTAATACCCTTCAAAGCCGCCTTTCATAAATACAAATGTAAAGAGTGTGTTCACTTTGAAGCTTTCTTTTTTTTTTGCAACATGAATATAGCATAGTGTAAAGTCGTTCAATCAGTGCATTCTTTATGTTAGTCTTAAAGACAACCATGTTTTTGTTATATCAAACAATTATGAATGAACATGCTCTAACCAAAATCATGCTATGTAGATCGAAAATCTTAATTTGATTGATCACCCTAACGTTATTAAATTCTATGGAATTTCATTAAGTATGACAGCTTTTTTTAAGAATGAGAATTTGGGTTTATAAAATTAATTCTCATTTACCATTGCCATGAATTAATTAATTTCAGACTATCGAACAGGAGGTTTTATGCTGGTATTACAATTTGCTAATGGTGGCAATTTACGGAATTATTTACGAAGCAAACGACGAGATGGTATTTATAAAAATTCTTGGGCTGAAATTATCCGAATTTCTACGGAAATTACAAATGGACTAAAGTATCTTCATGATAAGATGACTATCCATAGAGATTTGGTAAGGTTATTTTTTTGAATACATGATTTTAGCAACCAACAATTTTGAATTAAACAAAACCCAAATTTCGCTAGCATTCCAAAAATATTTTAATGAATGATGGCAAGGCCTTAATTGCAGATTTAGGAATATCAAAAAATGAACTAGAGAATACAGTCGCGAGTTCAAATATAGCAGGGATGCCTGCTTATATTGACCCACAATACTTCATTAATGGAAAAGAAAGCAAACGTGACAGGAAATCTGACGTTTATAGTTTGGGTGTTCTTTTATGGGAACTCACAAGCGGTGTTCCACCATTTGACAATTTTGGTACGATAAATATAGGCATAAAGATTTCTAATGGTGAAAGAGAGAAAGTTATCCCCAACACACCTACAAATTATGTAAATCTTTATAAAAAATGTTGGTCAACTAATCCGGATCAACGTCCAACATTGGTGGGCATTTTATTCGAACTTGAGAAATTAGCAAATGAAAAAACAATAGAATTCATAACAAATGTGATAAATGGTGATCTAGAACAATCACCTATAGATCTCATGTGAGTATATATCATTTTACAATCGACTTATAATGATTATTAGTAACTTTTAATTAATACGAGTATTAAAATACTATTTTGAATAAGTGTGCCAAATACTCCATACCATTTAGTGAGAAAAGAAGTTGATGAAAATCGAATAATAAAGTATGATGAACTGACATATGGACATGGTGAAATGCGAAGGAAAGGCGGACGTGTGAGGTTAAAATTATTAGACAATTTTGAGATACAAGATGATGACTGTGCTGATTATATTAAACGGTTAAGACTTGAAGTACGCGTTTTTCTAATTAATTTAATTAAACTATTAGATTTCATAGTATTAAGGGTTCTCAAGTAGCCCTCTCAGTGGATTATGCAAAATGCAAATTTAAAAATTTAACCAATCAGAACAATTTTATGAAAAAAAAGATTGTATGCTTCTCTTTCTTTTTCTATTGAACGAGGTGCTTGAGAACCCATAGGATGTTTACTATTATCTGTTTCTATATTTTGTTAAACGAAGCTGATGCATATTTTTTTATATATCTCATAGCTCATGACATTTGAACATGGGAATGTACTTAAAACTTTCGGTCTTACGTTCGGTTCGTGAATCTATTTAAATAAATGATTTTAAGAGATCACTCGGAATTTTACTTATTTCATTCTGAATTGCAAACTAGATTCCGTGATCGTTCCAATTGACTGTTCAACAATTAATTGCAAATTTTCTTTTAATATTTTGTATAATAGATGGAAATAGTAATAATTATTATTTTGTACATGAATACACCAATGGCGGTGACTTACGTTATTATCTAAGGCAAAAACATTCATCCAATTTACTACGATGGGAAGATAAATTTGAGATAACACGCCATGTAGTCAATGGTCTAAAATTTCTCCATGATCGGAACTTTGCCCATGCCGAATTGGTAATATTTTTTAGATTATTTAATTAATATGATGTATAGGATGTACCGTGTAGGTTGTCAGAGTCTTATTTACTTATTATTTTAGCATCCATGTAATATCCTTGTGCACGACGGAATTCCGAAACTAGCCAACCTTGGGATATCTAAAATTTATTCAAATTATAATATTGTGTATTCAAAATATAGTCCTCTTGAGATCTCGCAAAAAAAAGGTATTTACGACAAGGCAAAGTCAAATATATACAGCTTGGGTATATTAATGTGGGAAATAGCACATAATGGTATTGAACCTTTCTGCAGTAATTATAATATCGTAGAAGAAACACCCTTTAAATTTAAAAACCTATATCGAATATGTTGGGATAACAGCCCTGGTTAGTATTTTAATATTTAATTTATAATCAGTAAAAAATAATTGGCTAATATATAATATGTAATAAATGAATTGATTATAGACAAAAGGCCTGATTGTTCAAAAATTCTTGAGGAATTAAAACATATTGAACAAACATTTAATGAAAATTATAATCTTAACAAATATAATGAATTGGATACTGAAAAACAAAGAAAGTTAAAAATCGATTTTGTTAATTACTTTAATTTAAACAAAGGAAGAAATTGCGTTGCATATGATTTTGTTCCTGGCACAAAGAAAATACTTAGTGATAATGGGTACTTAAAAATAAATAAATCGAACAAGTCAGATCCAATTATCTGTTTTCCAGAGAAAGGGGGGCAAAATACAATTCCTTGGGCAATTTTAGACAATATGAATTTATTTAAAAACTTAGATGACAAAAATGGCTTATTAGTTCATGAATGCGATGATGTAAGGATACATATTCCAATAGCTACTGTACAGTATCGAGGAAATGTAGCAGAGCAATTTTCTCATGATATTACAAATGCTCTTGATTGTCCAGATGATAATGAGAAAAAAGAGAGATTAAAAAAGGTATTTAGTGAATGGGGTAACTTTATAGTTACTGATGTCACTATTGGTGGAGCCATCATGATAAAAAAATGGTCAGAAATTAATTACATGAACCAATCACGTCTGTTAACATACATTCAATGGGGTATTGACTATGCAAAAGGCGGGAGATCAAAAATTTTTAGTGAAATGCCACTTGATGTGTTTCCTCAATTTGAAATTTCGAAAAATATAAAAACCATCGGAGATCTTTATGGTTGGTTAAAAGGTTTGTATGATTATCAATATGCAGAAATAATATCGTACGAAGATTTTAAACCATCTTATGAATTGCTACCAAATGACTTGGTTGAACGAATATTCCAATGTTTTTCATCCCAACCCGTCGTTAAACCTATTGTTAGGATAATTCCACAAATGCTAACCCAATGCGAGCAACAAAAACTTTTAGAATGGATAGAAACAAAAAAACCAAGATTGTTATATATGTGTGATTGGGTTCATGATCTTTCATTAGAATATGGTATACTCCTACAACGCTCAAAATTAGGACATGGTGATAAGATCGGGTTTAAATATACAAAAGACCCTACAATCACACCGATTAACAATACTATTACAATTCTATTGTGTCAACCCCAAACTAAGCAAGTAGCATATTCACTGGATAATGGTTTGAAGGGAGAAGATGAATTAAAGTTCAGTGAAATTCCCTTTATTAACAATCATACTTTAGAATATTTCCGAGATTTAGAGAATAAACCTTCTAAAACTGTTTATTGTCAAATCATTTTTAATGCAATCAAAATCTCTTTTAAATCAATTATCAAACCGTCAGAAAAGCTTTCTAATGCGGTAGATGATGCTCTTAGAAGTGATGAACCATTTAAAAATCTTTGTGAATTATTTAACAATACCTATGGACTTCTAATTCCTGAAACCATAACCCTAGGCAAAAAATTGACTAGAACGTACGATTCCTGCAATATTCCTAAAAACACTATTGAAAAAAAAGAAGAGTATACTTACGAAAACTTAACAGCACAAGCAATAAAGACTTTAACTGATTGGGATGAAAAGAACAAAGACATAGATACAACTTTTTTTGTCGACGATAACAAAATTAAACGAGATGAAATTGAAGAGTGGCGTAAACTTCAATCAAATAATCCTAATAACTGGAAAGTTATATTTTATGAAGATTTAATTCCGACATATAAAATATTAACTAAATCACAACAGAGTGAAATTGAATCTATTTTAAGCGATAAATATCGTATTGTTTTTAATGGAAAAACATTACTCCATCAAGATGATCAAACCACGATAACTATCAAATTTCCTGGACCACTTGTCGATGAAAAATGCCAAATTTACGGATGTCTTGTAAAGAAGAATGAACTTGAAGGGTGGGAAAAAATTCCCAATGTGATGATTAGATTCGATAACATTAATCGATATAGTTGCAGAGCAATTATACATAAAAGTAGTAAAACAAGGTATTATAATTTTCATCACATTTATATATATTATGAGAGATAAGGTAAACGAGATATTTATTATAACTTATGATCTATCAATAAGTGTTTCAAATATCAGAAAAAGATTGTAGCATTGGGAGCATTAGGACATTGGTATCTTGTAGTCCAACAACAATTTTGCACTTTTCAAAGATGAATCGGAAGGTGTAAAATTGATCGATTTTGCTGGATAAATCACGAGATATTAATTTGCCACTATTATTCTCCTCGTGCTAACAACACTCTTATAATACAATGTATTCGCGATATAGCATCAGAATCGAACAATTTTTACACCATTCGATTCATCTCAGGGACGAATCGAATAGTATAAGATTACTCTGATCGATGTAACATTATTTCACTACAATGCCTCGTTTTCCTTATTGTAATTATCTATAAAATATTCTAACATTAAAATATTATCACATAAAGTTTAAGCAAAGACGAATCAAGGATATTGTGGTTTATACTTGCTAAACCTAAAGGATATTATTGTCATAGTCTCAGAAAAATTAAGGTTACATACGGAAAACTTGATATCCATGGAGATCAATCTTTCACATATTTGAAAAGTAAAGAAATTTCTAAAGATAATGTTTTAGTAACCTCTTTTGTTTCTAATACATTGAGAGAAACAACTTTTTACAAAACCAATGTCAAATTGTGGACAAGCTCAAGAGTTGACTTGAGAATTCAGAAAGTGCAAGAAGATAATTCAATAAATAATTTTGAACATTTAACTCTTCAATGGTGTATAATTAATACAAATGAAATAAATCCAACGGATAGTGAAAAACAAGAGTCATACCCATGGAGTGTATTTGGAACCGTTTTTGAAGACTTAAAAGACAATAAAAAGAATCAAGCTAAATAAATCACAATATCTGAAAGTTTCAGCAGAGGTTAATAGCATGGCAAACAAACTGAAGCATAAAGATAACGAAATATTTTGTTCAAAAAAGAAAAAGAATGATGGATCTTGATTAAGCTTGAGCTGCCTAAAAAATATCTCTGGAAGATATAATCATCAGCAAACGATTGAGTATTGTTGATTGTAAATATTTTAAAAGATTAATATGAACGAAAGTTGGATACCTATGCAAATTGTCACACGGGTTGGATCTAACTTTATATTAGAGGCTGATAACAACTAAACGTCAGGTAGATAGTACGTACGTACATACGTGCTCCCTACCCACTTACCTTTGTAATTAAGGAGCTATTGTTTATTATTATTAGTGTAAAGAAAATTTTTTTTCTTTTAATACGCAGGGTAAACTTACTAATAACAATAATTATACAAAACTCTGTGTATATGAAATTTATATTGGTATCATTATTACAGAATCTCACGTGTAAATTATGTAGCATATATTTATAAATATAAATATTTAATACAATATTCAATACTAACACTAATTAAAAAAATAAAAAATAAAAAAATAAAAGACAAGTCATTCTAAAATTCAATTGTGCCCTTGAAACCCAAATATAAGTATTATAATATACTGTATATCGATTTTACAAATTCTAATAATATAAATCCGTCGTAAATCAATAAATATGGTCATTATTCAGTGGAAAAGGGGAGGAATCTACAATATATATAAAAAAAAAACAGACAGTTAAAAAACATAATAAACACAAAAATGTTATTATAAAATTTTTTTAAAAAATTGCAGATTTTTCCTTTCCTATTGAATAAATCCCATATATGTATTAAAGACTATAAGCATGCAAAGGTGTCAACTAACAAATTAATTGAAATACTATTACCGTATAAGAGAAACTGAACAATATATATAGAGATTACATTAGATTTAATATAAACTTTTTAAAATTTTTATCCACTTTTTATTAGAGCTAATTAACCATATTTTACATATAAGCTTTAATATTTAATAAATTTTAACCAATTATCAAATATAACAATTTTTTCAAAAATTCTTAAAAAAAATTTTTTTTTAAAAGTTTTTCTCAAAAAAAAAAATTTTTTCTCAATAAAAAATTTTTCTCAAAAAAAATTTCCTCAAAAAGTTTTCTCAAAAAAAAAATTTTCTCAAAAATTTTTTTTCAAAAATTTTTCTTAAAAATTTTGTTTTACTTTTCTTTTTTCTTTTTTGTTTTTATTTTTTTTTGAGTATTAAAGTAATCTCTTAGACCAGGGAATGTTTTATTAGAAGTTTATATCATTTAATTACAGTGAGGGTATATCAAGCCACATGTGCACCTTTTGGGTGCCTAATTTAAGTAGTCCGCCTGAAGGTTCTACACTATCTGTCATACTTGTACCCAACTAGGGGGGTACCTGTTTAAACCCTCTAACCATAATCTACTTCCAAACCAATGAGTAACCTCTAACCTGGGGTATTACTCACTATACAGAAGTAGAGTTTGTATGTATCCAATCTGATTTTGCACCCACCTTAGAACTTACTAATCCCATATTGAGCTAGTCTATCTATAAGGTAAACCTAACAGAGTAGTCCATGTCTTACACATGTTTTTACCTGCTTGTTCGATAATTTCTTCCTAATTAGTACCTGTTTATTAAAAGCTTTTATCTACTTTTAAATATAATCTTTTAACATATCTACTTTTCAAATATAATAGTTTTATAAAAAAGTAAACTTTTTAGCTAAAATTTTAATATAGTTTCTATATATATTGTTTATAATCCTTATATAAGCACATAATAATGCACATAGACATTATTTTGAAATTTTAATTTTTTTAAAAAATAGCATATTTAACTCAAAATAATGTTTATGCATATTTCAAAATAATACACCCTATATATATCAAATTTTTTTATATGCTTTTTTGAATCTTCAAATAAATTTGAAATAATAAGCTTAAATTAATCTCAAATATGATTTACAATTTATTTACTTTATGTTGTCTTTATTTCAAAAAAACTAAATATCTCTTTCTAATTCTATTATGATATTTCAAAAAAGTACATCAACAAAATATATAAACATAAACTTATGTAACTTATTACAACCTGAAATATTGTACAATAATTATTGTCTTGGAATATTATTGCATAATAAATTACAAAATATTATGCAATATATAATATAATATTATGAAATTTATTATGAAATATATTACAAAAAATATTAGAAATATTTTGTAATAATTTAAAACTATTCAAATAGATATAAAAGTGCCAAAACAGCAAACTATTTATAAACTAAAAGATAGTTACTAATAGTGCTCCGAACGGGTCGGGTCGAGTCGGGTTATAGGTCAACCCGAACCTGACCCGAAATTTCGGGTCGGGTCGGGTTGAAAACTTTCGAGTTAGAGCTTTAACCTGACCCGACCCGACCCGACCTGAACCAGACCCGAATTTTTAAGGTCATTATACTAAAATTTTAAATTTTATTATAATTTTAATAATTTTGATTTTATA